CCTGTGTTTTGTCCCACCAGGTGTGACCCAGGCTGGGAGGGGCCGCACTGTGAGCGCTGTGTGAGGATGCCTGGCTGCCAGCACGGTACCTGCCACCAGCCCTGGCAGTGCATCTGCCACAGCGGCTGGGCAGGAAAGTTCTGTGACAAAGGTAGGGTGGAGCAGCCATTGGCTCCAGAGCCCATGTGTTCTAGAAATCCATCAATAGTTACTATTGACTGAGCACCTACTGTGTCTTGTTCAAATCCTCAAATACATCCTTACTGATCTCATTTCTATTTGATGTCTGAAAGAATCCTCAACATCACCTCATGATGTTGGAAAGACAGCTGCTAAAAAATTGTGCCCATTTTAAACATGATGAAACTACAGCCCACAGAAGAGCTGTAGCTCCTCTAAAGTCAGTGTGACCCCGACTGCCGGAGCTGAGGCCAGGAACTTCCAGAACTCTACTTCAGTATAGTTTTCCCCAGCAGACCATACTGGCCGGGGATGGAGTTGAAGTATGAGCCACATGCACAGAGCATTGGATCTGGTCCACGTGGGTCCTGGGAACCAACTACACAAGGGGATATCCCACTTTTTATCTCCTCTCTAGATGAGCACGTCTGTACCTCACAGTCACCCTGCCAGAACGGGGGCCAGTGTGTGTACGATGGGGGTGGTGAGTACCACTGTGTGTGCCTGCCAGGCTTCCATGGACGTGGCTGTGAGCGCAAGGCCGGACCCAGTGAGCAGGCAGGGTGAGTGCTGGGATCCTGGGGGAGTGAGGAAAAGGGCAGGACTGTCAGTGGAGCAGGAGACTGAGGGTCAGACCCACACAAGGGCACTTCAGGACAAAAGCCCCACTGTGGTAGTGTGCCGGGTCCAGATTCCCAACCATCTTTTTTTCTATTTTATGTGTATCAGTGTTTTGCCTGCATATATGGCTGTGCACCACATGCTTGGTGCCCAAGGGGGTGGTGAGCCTCCATGTGGGTGCTGGGAATCGAACCCAGGTCCACTGCAACAGGAAGTGCTCTTAACCATTGAGCCAACTCTCTAGCCCCCCAGATTCTAAACCTTCTTCACCTCAAATGATGCTTTGGTAAGGAGGGTGGCGTGGGGAGGGAGGCTCCTAAGATTCCCTTTCCTTCCTCACAAAAGCAGACATGCAGCCTTAAGAGCTGGCTCTTCCTGTGCGGATTATGAAACGGCCACAGGGCTGGACTTGCCCCATTTCCGCTACAGGCCTAAGAGCCTGTGGAGATAATATAGAGCACTTCTCTGAGCCTTGACTTTGGGCCTGACCGTGTGCTCACTGCCTGGGTTCTCTCATTTAGCCCACACGATGTGGCTATTTTTATTCTCGCTTTAAAAATAAGGTTATTTGAAACCCAGAAGGAGCAGCCTAAGGTGACGCAGCATGAAAGGGGGCGTCAGTGGTCAGGACACCGACTGGCAGGGTGATCCCCGTGTTCTCTCCCACCCTAGTTCCCCGTGCCGGAATGGCGGCCAGTGCCAGGACAACCAGGGCTTTGCCCTCAACTTCACGTGCCGCTGCTTGGCAGGATTCATGGGTGCCCGCTGTGAGGTGGATGTGGACGACTGCCTGATGCGACCTTGTGCTAACGGTGCCACGTGTGTTGATGGCATAAACCGCTTTTCCTGCCTCTGTCCTGAGGGCTTTGCTGGACGATTCTGCACCATCAACCTAGATGACTGTGCCAGCCGCCCATGCCAGAGAGGGGCCCGCTGTCGGGACCGCATCCACGACTTCCACTGCCTCTGCCCCAGTGGCTATGGTGGCAAGACTTGTGAGCTTGTCTTACGGGCCCCAGCCCCTGCCACAGCGGGCACCCCGCAGACACCCACCTCGGCGGCCGTAGTTACGGGGGCAGCCCCCCACAGTGCGGGGGCAGGCCTCCTGAGGATCTCAGTGAAGGAGGTGGTGCGGAGGCAAGAGGCTGGGCTAGGTGAGTCCAGCCTGGTGGCCCTGGTGGTGTTCGGGTCCCTCACTGCCGCCCTGGTCCTGGCCACTGTGCTGCTGATGCTGAGGGCATGGCGCCGGGGCATATGCCCCGCCGCACCCTGTTGCTTCCCGGCCCCACACTATGCCCCGGCTCGGCAGGATCGGGAGTGCCAGGTTAGCATGCTGCCAGCAGGGTTCCCTCTGCCACCAGACTTGCCCCCCGAGCCTGGCAAGACCACAGCATTGTGATGGTGGCAGGGGCCTCTCTGGCCCCCCTCCTCATCTCCTTCACACCTCGGACTGGAGGTCCGTCCTCACCAGCCCTCGGCTTTGGTCCACCCTGCCAGGGGGTTTCAGCCTCACACCAGAAATACTATTTTTTTAAAAAACAGAATGTAAGATAGGAATTTTATCAAATAAAATTATGAAAATGATAGTGGGCTTCTGTGGAAGAAAAACTGGCCCAGAATTCTGGGCAACGAGGCCCACGGTGGGCCGGTTCTGAGGAAGCCTCAGCCTTCACCACTCCGCGCGCGCGTGTGTGGTTCACATGGGGAATCCAGGGCGCCCTTTCCCGTCTGGGGCAAGTGGAGGAGAGGTAGAACTGTAAACAAGCAGCCCTGGTGGGCAGGCGCACAGCTCCCTGGGAGGCTCAGGGTCCTGTGGGGAGATGGTGGGGGGCTCCCTGCTGGCTGCTCTGCAGGAGCTGCTGGAACAGTGACTTGGGCTGACTGCGCAGGGCTGAGGGCGAGTCCAGCTCCACCACCCTCCCGGCGTGCAGCACCAGCACCCGGTCAGAGTTTAGGATTGTGTTGAGCCTGGGTGGGAGAAGATTGTCAGGGAGAGGAGAAGGGGTACGGTGGCCTAAAGAGAGAGCTGACCCGATTTCCCTCCAGGTCGCTCCAGACTGCACAGAGCTGTCCCCCACAGGTTGGAGTCCCTGGGTCTGTGCTATGGGAAGAATGGTGGTGTTTTTCCAGATAATGTGCTACCGAGGGCCTGGGGCTGTACCTGAAGGAGGAGGAGCTGGGGTCCCCAGGCCTTGATCCCCTGCCCACCCAATGCTGTCTCTGGGGTCTGATCTCCTTCTGGGAGGAGAGGGTCCTGGCAAGGGTCCGAGGCCTGTGCCTCCACTGTCCCTGAGTATTCTCACACCTGTGGGCAATAGTCAGCACCGTCTTGCTGGCAAAGCGTTTGCAGATGGTCTGCTGGAGCAGCTGGTCTGTCTTCTGGTCCACACTTGCAGTGGCCTCATCAATGCACAAGATCTGGACCGTTTGGAGCAGGGAGGGGAAGGAAGAGAAGACTGTAACCTACCTACAGTTCCCCACCCTCAGCTTCTCCCTGAACCCTCTCTCCAGCCCCCCTCCTCCCTCTTGGGTGTCCCTTCCTCTTGTCTTACCTTGGCAT